TACAACAACAAAATATACCTAAGGCAATTCATTTCAAGATTACCTTGGGCTATGATAGGAATCGTGACGAATTACTTTTATTCAGGTACACACCAAGATAAGAAGTAACTAAGAAAACATTGTCTTTTTCGGATTCTTTGAGATATCATGAAATAAGTAAAACGGATAAAGAAAAGCAGATTAACTGTTTTCTTTTTTTTTTTTGGAGAGATGATCAAAACCTAATATGTCATCAATACATTATGGCGAACAAAAATGCCTAGTGTCTAGTTATTTTTTAATGTTCATTAGGCAGACTTCGTAAACGATTTCTTTTTAGAAAGTTTACCGCAAGTCTCACAGCTTTCACGTACACTAAATAACAAGCAATGAAATTCGTAGATCCTTAAAGTTGCCTTAAATAGCCGTTGGCTTGTGAAAGATTAGATTTACTGCCTAACTGGGTTTCTGGTTAAACGATTACATATTTATTTTATAGATAATAATTTATTATCGAAACAGAAATCGCAATCCCAACTGGCGAATATTACGTGAACCAAGTTTTGTAATTGTTTTTCTATTGTTATCGACATTAAATAATAATTGTTACAAAGCAATACTTGATGTATGTAATGTTCGTTACTTTTAAATATAAATGAAATCGATTTAGACAATGGTATGTACTGCTAGGTACTTATTGTGTGCTAAGCTGATGATAATACATAATATATAAGCGATTGAAAGTCAACGTGTGGAGAAAAAAATCCTTATCAACCATGATGGGTTTAAAGTAAATCGCAATTATTAGGTTCTACACGCTCACCTAGACACTGTGAATGACAACCAATTTAATTTAATTATCTTATACCTGTCGGTACTTCGAGGTTATCTTCATGGTTTTTTTTATTTTTTTTTTTTTTGTTAATTCTGAACCACACTTAATTTTTTGTTTGTTAATTATAAAACGCGTACTTGCTTGATATCGTTTTCTGATACTTGATTATAGATACTAATTAACTAAATAACTCCTCCTACACTTGGCTGTTATTGATGTTACTTATTCTATTAAAATAAAAATCGGTTTAGTTTAACTTGCCTTTTTACTATTTACGTTATAAAATGGACTGGTGCCATTTTGGCAAATTTCCCATTTATTAGCTCACGTTTGATGTAAAAGTCATAATTTTGATTTGATTCATAAAGTTTATTCAGAAGTATTACGAAATATATCTGTTATACACTTGGTTATGAATGGATTGGAAATTGCTATAAATAAATTTTAATAGCTATGTCAAGAATGAACAATATTGATTATATTGTAAATATCATCACTGTAAGCGATGGTAGATACGATATTAAACAATTTTGTAATAATATCATAACAAAGGATAAAGCTTAATTCACCAATATAATTATTAACAAACTGAAAATGTTAATGACTTACTTATAATGATTTTATATTCCATGTCTTTCGATTTATGTGAAACTTTGTTTTGTCTAATCTTTGAGAAATCCATTTAATATGAATAAAATATAATAATGCCTAAGAATTTCCAAATTATTAACCGATCATTAAATAATATTCGTCCATACTTTAAGGCACATACAGGTCTGACGAAGGAAGCTGGCGAGCGGTCGCGCAGGTACTTGCCCATTTATGACCTATTTGGGTAAGTCACTTGGAACCGATACACAAATAAGCTTTCAGTAGGCGTAAATTATAATATTAATACAGATAGGACAGTAGCGTACTAGAAAATAATGTAAAAACATGACTTATCAAAAAGAAAAGAATGACCTATTGCTATTGTTTTATAGTTAGTTTTCACATTCACTGTCATCATGGAAATCTCTATCACTGTCACCAACATCAACAATTAGTTCTTCTGATTGTCTGTCTATTACTTGCTCACTGATCCCTATTTTTAAATATTTAATCTACGCCCCTGATAGGAATACTGAAGAGAGAGGGCTGCAATAGTTATATCTAAAACTGCCTACTTTTGCCACCGCGCATCCACGCCATTTTAAAATTTCCGCCAGTTTCCAGCGTCAGCCCTATACGTTGCTCATCTCTAATTAAATATTTAATCTACGCCCCTGATAGGAATACTGAAGAGAGAGGGCTGCAATAGTTATACCTAAAACTGCCTACTTTTGCCACCGCGCATCCACGCCATTTTAAAATTTCCGCCAGCTTCCAGAGTCAGGCCTGTACTTCTTGTGAAGGTAGAGACCTATTGTTTTTTGATCTAATAACAGAGAATAAACAGAGTAACTGAAACCCGGCGTCAAATTTATAATCCTCGTTATCAACGCATTTTTTTGCCGCGTGTTAGGTACCTATAACTATAATTCAACCGTACAGGTGACTATTAAATAACCTGATTATGCATATCTAGAATAGTTATTTGCAAAGAATAAAATATTTAAAATTGACACAACAAAACATACATTCGACTGAAAAGCACATGTGAAGTCCGAAAACGTTTAGTTTTCATTAGAAAATAAGACGACGATCGCGGCGTCGCTTTCTCTTAAATTTGTTCAAACAACCTGTTTTATAAATTATTCTGATTCATTAAACGAACATCGTGGGAACAACAGCTTCCAACAAACTCTATCATGTCCTAGTCTTTCCACATAGTTGGAAATACAACGTTACGTTTGCTGGGTCGTCAAGATTTATGCGAAAAGGGGGAGAAAGTTCGAATAGGAATTAAGACTGTCGACGAATTATTTAGGTAGCTTTACGTCTTAAAATTAAACTCGAAAAGATCGAGAGTCTGTACGTATTTTAAGCATAAGCCACTTCAGTTTGCGCCGCTCCTTCGTCCTTTCGGAACTGATTCAGACACTGGCAGTCCTTTATATAGGACGTCGGGAACACGAGCAACCTACCGTAGAAAAGTAATACAAATAAGGAAACTTCTTTGATAGTTAAATTTTTAGTTATATTGGACTTATAATCACAAGTATTTCTTCTGTATTTTTTTAGTTTCACCCATGGTTTCAAAAACGGTAAATGTCTAGATGATGGCCCCCACCACCTTTGGGGAGGACTCCCCCACCACTGTACCATAAAAAGTTCGTGGCGGTCTCACCCTCATAAAAAGTTATGGCGTTTCAAAGTTAATAAATATGCCAATTTTTATGCATTTCTAGGCATGTAAATATTTATATAGTCATT